TTTCAAGCACCATTTAACGTTTTATTTCATTCCAATTTCACTTTCTACTTCTCTCTAGAACTCCTCCCCAAGCGTTTGGTCTTCGGTATGTGTCTCTAGACCCTCCTTAGCAAGACTTGAATGGGCTGTTCAAGTTAAACTGTATCTCCAACTACAGATCTGTCTCAGATTTCTCGATCCGTTAAGTTGTTTCTTTGCCCTGACTTGCATCTGATCGGTAAGTTTCTTGGGTATAATCATTTTCACTTACAGATTTACAGATTTACAGATTTGCGATAAAAAATAATATCAAAATTTCTGAATATGATGTTTATATAGCCACTTTTTTAAAAAAAAAAAAAATTTGCCATCATTGTATTATATAGCCACTTATCAATCTGCACAAAATCTCTTATGATCTTATTCTTCCTTTGTATTTTTTGCTGATACCTATATGTTCTTTGATCTATATATAGTTCCAGAAATGGCAGCTGCGCTTGTTTGCTCAATCTTGCACCTAGTAGGAGAAGTTTTATTACAAGTAACAATGGGAACGGCGAGGCTGGGGGAAGATTCTCTAAATGAACTCGAAAGGCTTAGGAACAACCTTGCGATCTTAAATTGGATCTTTCCCAAAACAAGGGTAAAGAGGACTGACAGAGCTATCGAATTTTGGTTAGATGGGCTTACAGATGCAGCTTATGACTTGGTGGATGTGTTGAATGAGTGGAACGCTGCACACGGGAGGTTCAGAATAAAAGGAGTTGGAAAAACTTCTATTCTGAAGGCTAAGGTAGGCTCCTTCGTCACCCACTGTTTACGTACTACCCAAGTTGTTAGGCGTGATGATCTTGCTTTCAAATTAAAGAAATTCAGTGACAGGCTAGATGAGATTGCCACTGATCTAAATAAGTACCACTTAATATCAATTTCTACGTCTAGCAGATGGATTGAGAGTACATTTGTTGATGTGTCACAGATAATTGGTCGAGATGAAGTTAAGGGAGACATTGTAAGCAGTTTGTTGTCTGCATCTACTGAACAACTTAAGACAATTTCTGTTGTTGGCAAGGGTGGGATGGGAAAGACAGC